ACCACACCCACCCACACAGCGCCAACAACGACACCAACACGCACCACTCCCAACCACCACACACACAACACACCAACATCAGTACCACACACCACCGACACACCACACACACCCCACAACCACCCACACATCTATCCCACACACCACACCCACACACCAACTGCACTAACACCGTATCCACACAGAAACACCACACACACACACCGAACACCTCACCACACCACACACACCACACACACCACACACCCACACACACCCACCACACACCACACAACACCACACACCACTACACCACACACACCACACACACACCACACACACCCCACACACAACACCACACACACACCACACACGCACAACATACCACACACACCACACACCACACACACCACACACCACACACCACACACACCCACACACCAACAACACCACCACGACCACACAGAACACAACACCACACACACCACCACACCACACACCACACACACCACCACACCACACACACCACACACCCACCACACCACCACGCCACCACGCACACACACCACCACCACAACACCACACACACCACACACCCCACACACCCACACACCACCACACACCACACACACCACAACCAACCCACACACCACACACACACACACACACCACACACCACACACACCCAGCACCACCTCCACACACCACACACCACCACACCAGCCACCACACCAACACACACCACCACACCCCACACACCACAACACCACACACACACACACACCACACACCACACACCACACACCACACACACCACACACACCTACACACACCACACACCACACGCACCACACACCACACCACACACACCACACACACCACAACCACACACCACCACCCACACACCCACCACCACACCACCACACCACACTCACACATCCACCACCACACACCACACACACCACACACACACACACACACCACACACACCACACACACCCACACACACCACACACCACACACCACACACACCACCCACACAACCACACACACACCACCACACCACACCAGCACACACCACACACCACACCACACCACACACACACCACACCACACACACCACACCACACGATACCACCGCACACCACACACCACAACCACCACACACCACACACACCACACACACACCACACACCACACACACCACACCCAGAACCACACACACAACACACCACACACCACACACCACACACACACCACCACACACACCACACACCCACACACCCACACACGCCACACCACGCCACACACACCACACACCACACACACCCACACACACCACACACCACACATCGCACACACACCCACACACCACACCACCACACACACCACACACCACACACACCACACACCACACACCACACAACAACACACACACCACCACCACACACCACACGCACCAACACACACCACACACCACACACCACACCACACACCACACACACCACCACATACCACACACACCACACACACCACACACCACACACACCACAACCACCACACACCACACACACACACCACACACACACACCACACATTACTACACACACCATCACCACACCACACACACACCACACACACCAACACACCACACCACACCACATACACACCCACACACACACCACACACACCACCACACACCACACACACCACACACACACACCACACACACACCACACCAACACCACACACACCACACACCACACCACACCACACACACCACACACCACACATACCACACACAGACCACACACACCACACACACCAACCACCACCACCAATCGTTGGTCCAGGCTCTGGGCCTTCCTCCCCCACCCGCCCCCCCACGAGGAAGAGGCAGATGGTGTCACTGCAGGGCCCAGGGAGTCCCCATGAGGGTGCTGGGCTCAGTCCCATCCCTGTAGCCCTAAGAGCGCTCCGAGCCCAAGGCCACAGGGCTGTGAAACAGGGCCCTCCTGACCGGGAAGGAGGCCAGGGGCAGCCCAGGCGGCAGGACCAGTGGGGAGAGGCAGTGCTATCAGAGGGGATTTGGGTGAGGCTGACAGGCTCAGGGCTGGCCCCTGACTGATCAAGGGTGCATGTGGCAGTCCGGGGACACAGACAGGGCAGGAGTCCTGGGACTGGGTGGGTCCCACCTTCCACTATCTCCCACCTCCCAAAAGCTCAGAACGGCTGCTTGCTGTTAGCAGAGTCCAACACAAGGTGGCGCCATAGTCAAGGGCCCGGGACCTGGGGGTAGGGGGTAGTGGGCACAGATGGGCAGGTGGGCAGCTCTGCGCGTGGGGATCCCGAGGGGCTCTCAGAGCTCCCACCCAGGTCCTGTCCCCTGCCTAGGTGGGTGCCATCCCTACCTGCCTCTCCCTGATACTGTTCCGGGGCCTTCCTGGGTGCCCTGCAGCTCACGGATGAACGAGCGAGACTAGAGATGCCCCCCAGGCTTCTGCCAGGCTTTGGTGACCTGCCACTTGCTACCAGACACCAGACAGCACCCTCCAGAGAACCTCAGCCCCACAGAGGGGAGGCGGCGCGCCCAGCCATGGAGGAGCCCAACGCCGAAAGAAGCAACTGAGGCAGTGGCGGGGGCTGAGGAGGGATCTTCTGGGTGGGGCCGTGGGGTTCACAAAAAGGCAGAAGCCAGGCATCCGGCACATTTCCTGAGCCCTCCTAAGGTGCCAGCCCCATACACGCATGGGGTCCCACTGAGTTCTCACAGCAGCCCCGCACAGAGAGGGCTGGTACAACCCCACTGTACAGACAGGGAAAGTGAGGCTCAGAAAGGAGATGGAAACTGTCCTGAGTTACACAGCCAGGAAGGGCCAGGGCAGGGTTCGGCGCCGGGCAGCTGACCCAAGGCGGCTATCGGCCCCGCACTGTGCTCCTGCCCCAAAGACAAGCCCAGAAAAGCTGGTTTGGCCAGAACCACTGAATCCATCCTCCGTGGGAAAGTCAGGGGCATGGGGAGAGGTGGGCTGACCACGAAGCCCCAACCCACAAGGGCCCTGGGCTGCCTCAGTCCCGGAGATCACACCCCAGATGCTGAGGGGGACAGGGGAGCAGGGCAGGGGTCACACTCGTCCATACTCTGAGTCACACCCCGGCTGTGTGACTTCAGGCAAGTCACTTAACCCCTTTGGGCCTGGATTGCCCCTAATAAAAAGGAGTGAATGCTAACACCATCCTGCAGGGTTGACAATGGGATGAACTATCTGGCATGCTGCTGACAAGGAGCATGTGCCCTGTGGGCTCCGCCTGCCACGCACAACCCAGGGCACTGGAACGTGAGTGGGGACTCCTTCCTAGGCCAGCCCACCCCACCTCCCCAGGCCCACCCCAGACGCAGCTTCACCTCTGGCGGGGCACGGCAGGCTGGCGTTCTCTCCGGCCACTCGCTCCAGCAGGCCGCTGGTCTCATCAGCACCCCAGTGTGGTGGCTCTGTAGGAAGGCAACATGGCCACACTCGTACCTCGAGCCCAAAGCCTGGGACCCCTCAACCCCTGCTTCCAAGGAACCCAGGGCCAATGGGGAGGGCGTCCCCTTCCGGAATCCCAGCCCCTAGCCTCCTGGCAAGCCCAGTCAGGCCTAGGGGTACTGACTCACCCCTGCAGGGAGGCCCCATGGCGCAGCCACCAGGGCGAGCCCCACAGGCTGGGGAGGCTGAGCTGTGCCCTCAAACACAAGGGGCCATGAGTGGTCCCTCTCAGCAGTGGCTTTCCAAGCTTTTATTTATTTATTTATTTTAAGAGATGGGGTTTCACTACGTTGGCCAGACTAGTCTCGAACTCCTGGGCTCAAGCGATCCGCCCACCTCGGCCTCCCAAAGTGCTGGGATTACAGGCATGAGCCACCACACTTAGCCCCAAGCTTGTTTTAAATTCCTAATAGTGAAACTGCTAGCACCACTGATCCAGAACTTTCTATGCGCCAGGTGCTTCACACAACTGGGGTCAGAGAGTGTAGGTGACCGGCCTATGGTTGTCCGGATGGCAACCATAGGCCAGTGCCACTCCCCAGTTACTGCCTCAGGTGCCTCTGTCCACCCAGGTACTCAGGGGCCCCACAGGTCACCGCCCAAGGGGAAGGAGTACAGGGAACCCCTGCTGGGAGCTCTGAGGACCACCTGGTCCATACCCAAGGGCTGACAAAGGCTCCTGGACACAGGATAGCTTTAAGGTCCAATAAAGGGCCAGGGCACTATCTGTCCCAGGAAGGAAGGGAATGGGCAGGCACAGAGCCTGCAACAGAGACGAGCACCTCCCAAGTCCAGGCTGTGGCTGTGAGAGCTGGGGAGAAGCAGGTTCTGGGGTCAGGGAGACTCACCCAGAACCCTGAGCTCCACCTCCCAGGCGTCCACCCCGGCACTGTTGGAGGCCTCACAGCGGTACCTCCCGGCATCAGAGGTTCTGACGGCTGCGAAGTGGACGGAGTCCTCAGGCCCGCGGCCCCGCAGGACCACGCCATCCTTGGACCAGTTCAGCTGGGGCTCTGGGTTACCCTCAGCCACACAGTTCAGATCCAGGGCTTCTCCCACCAGCACCTTCAGAACCCGAGGGCCTGGCTGCACCTGAGGGGGGACTGAGGGGCCACAGGAGGGGTATCAACGTGGGGGGACTCAGGCGAGAGGGTCCCAGAACCCAGACACAAGCCACATTTCAGATGTCACCAACCAGCAAAATTGTCATGGAGCACAATCTAAGGCTGGCAGGAAAAGACGTTGGGACACCCCACGTGGACTCCCCCAAAGTGAGCGAGCTCCGGTCTTTCACCTGAACACACGCACTCTCGTGAAAGACTCAACCCTCAGGGCTGAGCTTGTACATCCCTCTGTCCCCACCAATGTGCCCGACATCACTTAAGAACCGCCACTCAGGGCTGGGAGCTGTGGCTCACGCATGTAATCCCAGCACTTTGGGAGGCCGAGGTGGGCAGATCGCCTGAGGTCAGGCATTTGACACCAGCCAGCAAACATGCAAAACACCCATCTCTACTAAAATACCAAAATTAGCTTGGTGCTGGTAAGCGCACACCTGTGATCCCAACTACTCAGAGGCTGGAAGCACAAGAAATTGCTTGAACGCCGGGAGGCAGAGGGTTACAGTGGAACTTGAGATCATGCACTCACTCCCGGACCTGGTCTGTGACAGAGGGGAGGCTCTGCTCAAAAAAAAAAAAAAAAAAGCACCACTTGGATTATCCAGCGTCATTGACAGTGGGGAAACTGAGGCAGGGCAGAGGGGACCATAATGCCAAGCAAGGTGCGGAGGCAGCATGGTCAGAGGTGGTCCAATCCCAAGTTCAGTCAACGCGACCCCTGTTCCGGCCAGAGCCTCAGTCCGCCTTGCACAACCCTCCCCGCCCGCGGGATAAATAGGTGGCAAGCCTAAAGCGCCCCACGCACAGCAGCCTGGTGCTGGCATGCGGTGGCTGGAGTCAGCCTCCAGCTGGCATCATCGCTGCCGTCCTTTCCATTGGCTGTGGCACCTGTCTTCACATTCTGCGGGTTCAATCACTTTCTCATCCTCTCCATCCACTCTGTCATAAAAACACAAAAACAGGTGACTCCCATCCATGGTCTGCACATTTTGCAGACGGGGGAAACGAGGCTCCAGAAAGGTTATATGCAAATGGCCAGATCCGCCAACCCCCCTCAGTGGATAGACTGGCACCAACCTGGGTCTGGAGGCCTCAACGGTCGCCAGGCCACCTGCGGGACACTGAACATTGCGACACCAAACAAATCATAAACAACCAGACACACATCAAACCAGCACTACAGGGAACTGGGACTAAATACCTCGGACCCTCCAGGGAGCTGAGGGCACTCCACCCCCTACGCAGTTTCTGAGAAACAACAAAGAATAAATAAGACCACCCATGGGTAACTGGTCCTTGGGTGAGACAGACACCATGCACACAGACATGAATACACGAGAAAACAACACATGCACGAAGCACAGACGAGCAATGGATCCCTGCCCTCCCGTCGCTTCCGCTCCTCCTCACGCACACCTGAAGACAATAACAGCTTCCCTGCCTGCGCTGACGCATTCACTGCCCACAGGGGTGCTTAATTGGCTTCCTTTATAATAGGTAGGCAGCCAAAGCTCCAGAGAGCAAGACCGGCTAAGATCACACAGCCCATCATGCTACACGAGTCGGGATTCACAACCCAGCTCCTGCCAACATCTGAGGCCCTGCTCATTACGGCTGCCTCCTGTCCCAGTCTCTCTCACACCCATGCAAACCTACGGGAACCCTGGCCGCCCCTCCCCACTCTTGGGCTCAGCCTCGTCCATGCCGCTGTACCAGTGTAGCTAGACTAAGGCAGCACGCTTTTATATAAACGAGTCAAGGTGGGGCGGCGCCGGTGGTTCAAGCCTGTAATCCCAGCACTTTGGGCAGGCCGAGACGGGCGGATCACAGGTCAGGAGTCGAGAACCATCCTGGCTAACCATGTGAAACCCCGTCCTCTACTAAAAAATACAAAACTAGCCGGAGCGAGGTGGCGGTGGCGCCTGTACCCCAGCACTCGGAGGCTGAGGCAGGAGAATGGCCGTAAACCTCCCGGGAGGCGGAGCTTGCAGGAGATGAGATCCGACCACTGCAACTCAGCCCGGGCGACAGAGCAAGACTTTCGTCCAAAAAAAAAAAAAGAGTCAGGTGTCCAGATGCCGGCTGTGAGGCAGGGCCGCTCTCTCCACTTCTCACACTCTGCCGTCAGGTAAAGCCGCCACCAGCAGCACATACATGAACATCTGTGGGTGTGTTCCAATAAAACTTGTATTTATAAACACTGAATTTTTGTTTTGTTTTGTTTTGTTTGAGACAGGATCTCGCACTGTTACCCAGGCTGGAGTACAGTGGCATGATCACGGCTCACTGCAGCCTCGACCTCCTGGGCTCAATCTATCTTCCCACCTCGGCCTCCTGAGTAGCTGGGACTACAGGTGCGGACCACTGCGAGTGGGTAATTTTTTATTTTTTGTAGAGATAGGGTCTTGCTATGCTGACCAGGCTGGTCTCGAACTTCTGGGCCCAAGCCATCCTCCCGCTTAGGCCTCCCAGAGTGCTGGGATTATAGGCATGAGCCACCATGGCTGGCCAACACTGAAATTCGAATTTCAGATACATTTGAAATGTCACGAAACATTATTTGGTTGGTTTTTTTTGTGCGTGTCCAATTATTTTAAAAAGTAGAAGCCATTCTTCACTGGCTCATGATCCCTGAAAACAGGAGGGCGGATTGGGCCCTGGGGCCATAGTTGGGCCTGTCCCGGATGCCTCTCAGGGTTCTTTCGGATGACGAGTGACCTCCCTTTTCAGTGTATGACTCTCACTGGCTGGCTCCCTTTGAATGAGCCCTGGACTCACAGGGGAACGCCTCCTCCTGGGACCCTCCACCAGGCTGGGAACCAGAACCACAGTGGGGTACGTGGGGACCTCGGACAAGAGGAAGGGATGCACGGAGAGAGAGCGGCACCTCCTGTGATAGGTGCACACAGTGCCTCGTTGATGGCAGTGGTGGGCGCAGGAACTCAGAAGGGCCTCTTGGGGGGCATTAAGATGCTCCCAGCAGGAGGGGGCTCTGTGGCACCTCACAGGCCTCTTCCCATCGCCACGCCCTGGGCTCCCAGCTGGGCCTCGCGCACCAGGCAGAGACACTCTCAGACCCACCTTCATGGGTTCCCCTCTGACCCCCGTCCTCCCAAACCCAGGTCCCCACTGCACTCTGCCCTATGTTCTTGGGGGCCTCTGAACAGCATCTCCAGGACCCCCCAGGAGGTATGGGGAGAGGTGGAGAAAAAGTGTGCAGGAGGAGACACAGGCCTGAGAGAGACAGGAAGTGGGGGTGGCAAGAGGAGGTGGCAGAGGCACACGGAGGGAGAGGTGACAGAGCCTGACAGACCTGAGCGTGGGCTACAGGAGGGGCACTGAGAGACCTGAGGGACAGGCAGGGTGATGGGGGACAGGGAGGGACTGGGGCTGCCAACTGGTCCTACCTTGCACCCCAAGGACGTAGCGCCGGGAGGTGGACCCCGCAGGGTTACTGGCTGTGCACTCGTAGTGGCCGCTGTCACCCACCTGGACCTGGGCCAGACGCAGAGAGCCAGACGGGAGGAGGCCATGCCTTCGGGAATGAGGAGCGCTGGTGAGACCTCCACTGATCCCACACACATGGAAACGCTTCAAGACCCAACTTGAACCAGCCACCTCCGCCAGGAAGCCCTCTGGTAATGCAACAGCACCCACCATCTAGCCCCCACCCCCACCTCCACCCTCCCTGAACCACCAGGCCAGGGCCAGTCCCATGCCTACTGGTGTAAGAGAAGAAGAGCCCTGGACTAGGAGTCCACTGGCTTGGGTTCGAGTTTAAACTCTAAATCCTTCCTAGCTGTGTGGCCTCAGGCAAGTTGCTTCACTTCTTGGAGCCTCATCTATAAAATGGGCATGCTAAGATGGCCTGTGTCTGGGCTAGAGCTGGTAAACGGAGTCCATCACAGGCTCAGCCCAGGGCCGGGAACCTGCCCACCGCTTGACACCTGTTGACTGCGGGTGGCAACTCCCCCTCCTCTGCCACACACACCTGCCCTGCGTGTGGGATGAAGAAGCTGGCAGCCCTGACGCCCTCTGGTCTGGTGCCAGGGCCGGCCTGACTGACTGCAGTTGCTTGGTGCTCTCAGTCCAGAACTGTGTTGAGGGTCCTCAGGAGGAAGCTGCGGAGCCCCCACCCCCACTGCCATCGTTATCCTCCCCAGTCTGGCTCAGCTTGATAAGTCACATGACCCCCATCCCACAGGGATGTAGGACCCCCAGCCAGGCCCCTGCAGCTGGGCTGGACCCCAAGGGCCCCCTGCAGACATGATGTCACTGGCCCATATGTGCTGGCTCTGCACAGCCCCTGCCTCCATAGAACAGGGAAGGCAGCTGCGGCCACTGACCCTGGCTGGCCCCGAGAGCACACAGCCAGCACAGGCGGAGGGGGGGCTCCAAGGCCCAGTCGCTGGCCCCTGTGCTCACCAGCTGGGCTGTAGAACCCAGCAGGCCTGGGATGCTCCAGTCCTGGCCCCCACCTTGCTTTCTGCTGAGCCTCAATTTCCTCTTCTGCAAAACGGGGATTACAGAGCCCCTTATAGAATCCTTAGGGCCCTCATAGCTCCCACCTCGCAGGCAGCTGCAAGGATCACATGAGACATGGTAAGCAACGTGCAGGCCGTGCAGTCATTAAACAGGGCAATACCGTCAGTAACTCTCGGGCTACTAGCTGAGAACTCTGTCTCCCCATCTGTAAAGTAGGGCAATGACAGCCCCTTCCCAGCCATCCCCTCCATCCATTTGTCCCGAGCATCCAACAGCCTCTTGGGACAAGTTCTCTAAGGATGGCTGTGGATGACACAGTGGGTGGTGGTCTCTAGAGCCTGGGCACTGGGCTGGATTGCCTGGGTCTAACCTGCTGGGCCATGTGCTTGCTGTGTGAGGTTGAGCAAGTCACCTCACCTTCCTGTGCCTAATTCATCTTTTTATGGAAAATAGAGCCATCAGTTGTGCTCACTGCTCACAGGGTTGTCAAAAGAACTGAATGGCCTAATTCATAGCACGGCATCTGGAACAGAGAGGCATTCAACCCAGGTCAGCGGCTTCCACGGAGACAAGAGCACATGCATAAATAATACGTAATGTTTTGCATGTTTTAAAACTTGCATCATGAGCTGTATCATGACATAAACGGCATCATGAGTATATACATATATAGGTCTATTCACTCCTTTTTGACTGTTGTGTAATATTCCCTTGTATGATCACACCACAATTTATTAACTTGCTCCCTTTTGAGTGGACACTTAAACATTTAGATCTTTATCTCTTCCTTCTTTCCTTCCTTTCTCCTTTCTCTCTCTCTCTCTCTGTTTCACACTGCTGTATGCATCTCACATGCACTGGAGCAGGTCTCCTGGGCTACAGGCTCACACCCTCTGCTCTCGAAGATCTCACACCTTGCAGGGCAGGGGTTCTCATCAGAATCTCCCAGCTGCATGTGAAACATGCTGATTCTCAGGCCCTGCCCAGAGACCCATTCCATGGGGGAGGTAGGAATTGGGGTTTTACTAAAAACCCCCAGGTAGATGATACAAGTGGCTGGGGAACCATCTCCAGGGAACCACTGCCTGGGGACAAGAAGAAGTGTCTCTTCCCCAAGAAGCAGCATGGCAGAGCAGATGGGTGTGGGTCTTTGACGGCAGGTGTCCTGCTGAGAACCACCATTCTGCCTCTTACAGGTTGATCTTGGGCCAAGGATGCCATCTCCCTGAGTTTCAGTGTCCTTATCTAGTATGAACTGATATCACGCACACAAAGCCTGAGGTGCCCAGGACATAGTATATGGATAACACCTGCTCATCTTTCAATACTGAGACATCACCTCCTCCAGGTCACCTAAACTGCCTTGCTATTAGTGTGACACAAAACCCCAGCCAGTGTCTGGGATCTCTCCCCAGTCTTCAGTCAGCTGGGCAGCCCTGAACAGTTGCTCAGTCTTTACAGTGCAAAGGAAAACGTGAGAAAACACCACATAAATATGTATGTGTCCTGGCAATGGGCAAACATTTCCCCTGCGTAGCTCTACTCTATCTGCCACTCCAGCTCGAATTTTCTCTTCTACAGTTTTTTAAAAAATTAAATAATGTTGACAGGTTGACACCCACTAATCAAGGGCCAAATCCATTTGATGCTGAAACTTATACACTCAATCACATTCCAGGCTGGGATGCAGTTCCCTCCCGAGACTTCATCGCAACACCTGGGCTGGCAAACAGGGACGATGTGGGCCAGTGGGAAGAGGTCTGGGCTAGAAAATGGAGTTCTGGATCCGAGGTCCAACTGTGCTTCAGACATGCTGTGCAGGGCAGTCAACATCTCTGAACCCCATTTCATATTTGAAAAGGCAGCACCAAGTCTGGGCAACAAAAGGAGGCCTCGTCTCTACAAAAAATAAAAAATTAGGTGGGCATGGTGGCACATGCCTGTGGTCCCAGGTAATTCAGAGGCTGAGCTGGGAGGATCACTCGAGCCCAGCAGATTGAGAGCTCTGGTTGTGCCACTGTACTCCAGCCTGGGCAATGAGGCAAGACTCTGTGAAGAAAAATAAAGGCTGGGGGGCGGGGGAGGAGAGAGACAGAGACGAGAGACAGAGATGAGAGACAGAGACGAGAGACAGAGAGAGAGAGAGAGAGGCTCCAGACTCTATTATCTGGTAAGTTGCCTTCCAGAACTGTAAGGATCATAGAACCCTGCTCCTCTCCTCACCAAACCCTTAAAAAGATAGGAAATGGGGGCTTCTGGAAAAAAAAAAACTTCCAAAAGTGTTAACAATTCACACCAATAAAAGTAAGTATCTTATCTTTCTTAGTAGCAGCCCAGATCATTTTCTAGAAGGAGGATTCTGCTTGCTACGTCACCCAGGAAGAAATGCGGGAATCCATTTTACAGACGGACATGCTGAGGCCAAAGGACCCAGGACCTGCCCAGCAGAGCCTGTGTCTGCTCTAAATGCCAAACTGGCCACATCCTCACCTGCTCTCAAGCCCTCTGCGGCCGCGCACTGCTCCCTGACAAAATCCACGCACAGTACTATGGCCTGTGTGGACCTACGCAGACCACCCCCAACTGCCCTGCATCCCTGCATGGGGGCACTGGGCGTCTGTTCCTCCCCAGGGGGGCCAGGCCCATCTCACCAGCCCTCCTTTGCCCATGCTATTCCTTCTACCTGGGACACACTTGCACTTCCCACTCACCTGGATGATACTTGATTCACCTTCTAATACGGAGACATCACCTCCCCCAGGAAGGCTGACTTGATGCCCCAGGCTGATAGGTCCGTCCTGTAGGCTCCCACAGCCTGAACATCCTGCCATCATAGCCTTCACCACACTGCCTTGTCACCACCTGTCACCTGCCTGCCTGTGGCTCCAAGGGGACATCCGTCTTATTTCCCTTGGTATCTCCAGGACCTGCTCAGATCCGGCACAGAGACTTGCTTTTATCATGACCCTGCGCATGCGCTGCAGAGACTCAGGGAAAAGGTGAAGCTGCAGCTATGGGCCTGGGGTTTCGAGGGCAGCCCACCGCCTGCTCCTTCCGCCTGCCACCACTCTCCTACCACATTCTGAGAGGCTCAGTGGGAGGTTTGGGGGCTGCAGCCCAGCAGGGAAGTGGAGGCAGCAGTGGAGAGATGGGAGAAAGGGAGGAGGCCACAGAGTCTCCGAGGAACAGGCTGCTGTTGGGCGCACGGTGTGATGAGCGGGGCAGATTTCATCGCGGCGTGCACGGCCAGATGGCTCCGTGCGGCGCCCAGATGAGAGTGCAGAGGTTTGAGGGGGAATTTCCTGTTTATGACATCCATCTGGCTTGAGCCCCTGCAGTGAGGCGCATGCAGATGTCAGAGTGGCGGGGAGAAGCGAGAGGGGCCCATGGGGCAGACGGCTGCCCAGAGAGACCAAAGGGCATCTGACAGAAAGTGCCAGGAATAATGCCAGTTCCTAGGCCTCACTTGTCTGCCTCATCCCCAGCACACACCTTTGCTGCACTCAGGGAAGCCTTCCCCACTGCCCCAGGCAATGCCCTGCTTCCCATTGCATGCTTCCCATGCTATTTGCTATTATGCAGTTTACCATGCCTGTCATTACGCTGTCTGATGGCTCCATGAGGGGAGTAGCCAGGTCTGCCCAGGTCCCCGGCATGTCCCCAGCTCAGCATGGGCCCTGGCCTGGCCCATAGTGGGTGTTCAATAAATATTTCGTGGCAAATTGCAGCTGTTCCCTGTCCATGCCACACACTCCCTTCACCCCTTTCACTGACACTGGTCCCTGCTCTCCCTCCCTCCCCCCAGACCTTCCACCATCTCAGTACTGCCCTCCTGCCCTCCCCAGACACCCGCTGTCTCCCACATTGCTGTTCCTGCTGCCTCTGTCTATAAAGTATCCAGGAGCAGGGCCAGTGACTGTGGAATGAACGGCACTCCCGCCAGAGTCACCCAGCCTGCTGCAGGGCTGGTTCTCAGCACAGAGCACACAGTCAGGCAACACTCAACAGATGCCCACTATGCACTCGTGGACGCCAGCCCTGTGTCTGCTG